ATGTTTCCCAGTTTCATCCATTTTTAGCATGTTTCAGTACTTTTCCTTCTTTTCGAAACAGTTTTATTGAGATGTCATTCACATGCCATACTGTTCATTCCTTTAAAGTATATATAATTCAATTGCCTTTAGAATATGCAGTTATGTAGCCATCACCACAATACATTTTTAGAACATTTTTATCACCTCCAATTCCTGTTTATTGCCAAATAATATTCCATTGTATGGATATACCACATTGTATTTATCCACTGGTGGGCATTTTTACTCTTAGAATATTATAAATAATGTTGCACAAGTTCTTGCAGGGACATATGTTTTCATTTCTTGTAAGTACCTAGGAATGGAATTAATGGGCTATATGGTAATTATATGATTAAGCTTTTGAGGAACTGTCAGATAAGCCATGTGATTGATTGATTTTAAAGACAGGGTCTTATTGTATTGCCCCAGTTGGTCTCCAACTCCTGAGCTCAAGCAATCTTCCTACCTCAGCCTCTGAATGGCTGGGACTACAGGCACGTACCACTGCACCCAGCTGCCATGTGATTTTTTTCCTCCCAATTTTCTCAGTTAACATTAATCATGTATATTTTCATGAGTTGTTAAGTGTCCTTTGAGCATGTGGCTTTTAACATTTGCAGAGTTCCAAATTTTAGTTGGCCGACCCCCTGTTATTGGGGACACTTCCGATTTTCATCATGATAAACAGCATTTCCATGGGCTTTTTTTTTTTTTTTTTTTAAGACAGATTTGTGCTCTTATTGCCCAGGCTGGAGTGCTATGGTGAGAACTGCAACCTCCACCTCCAGGATTTAAGCGATTCTCCTGCCTCAGCCTCCCGAGTAGCGGGGATTACAGGTGTGTGCCATCACGCCTGGCTAATTTTGTATTTTTAGTAGAGCTGGGGTTTCACCATGTTGGTCAAGCTGGTCTCGAACTCCTGACCTCAATGATCCACCCGCCTTGGCCTCCCAAAGTGCTGGGATTACAGGTGTGAGCCACTGTGCCCAGCCCCATGAGCATCTTTAGGCACCAATCTTTTATTTAGGCATCTCTGGTTATTTCTCTAGAGCACATTAGTCAAATAATTGTATCAAAGGGCACAGGCAGTTTTGAGGCTCTCAGTGCATAATGATAAATTGCCTTCCAAAAAGCCTGTGCCCGTTTGCACTCTCAAAAGCACAGTGTGCACCCCTCCTTATATTTTAATAGTTTCCTGAGGTCACCAGAACATGAACATGGGGAGGGCAGGGACTTGCTTGGGCATCTTGGATACCACGCCCAGCTCAATGTGCAGTACTGAGTAGAGGTTTGTGTGACATGAATGAGTGAGAGCACATGAAAGCCCAGATGAGTACAGGGTCCGTGGGGCACAGCGGAGGGTACAGGTGTGTGAGCACCGTGAAGGCCAGCTCCACAGGACTTAGCACACTGCTGACGAGGGGACTCAGTACAGACACAAGTGGTAACAAGGCCTCGTGAGTCAAAGAGCTTCTCACCCTGGAGGTCAAAGCAACTGACTGGAGATGAGGAAGCCGCACTCCAAGGTCACTTAGGGACAGACGCTGGCAGGGCTGGTCTGAAGACTGGCAGCAACTCCTTTTTATACTCCACTCTGCAAGCACCAGTCTTTATGCAGAGCTCTGGAAGAATTCCCCTCACTGAGCTAGCAAGGCCATCAAACTCTGCGTTCACTTGGATATCCTGAGGAGACACCCATTACAAGGATGAACTTTGTTACTATCTGAGAACTTGACCATTTTTCACTCACACACACAAGGTCTCAGAGAAGCTCCTTCGGGCGGCTTCTCCCCTGTGGATGACAATCTCATACCCGCAAACTAGTAAGATCCAGGAGAGAAGGGAACAATGAGGGATGTTTAAATTCCTGCTGTATTTATTTATTTAGAAATGGGATTGTACTCTGTCACCACGCTGGAGTGCAGTGGCTCAGTCATAGCTCACTTCATCCCTGAGCTCCTGGACTCAAGCTATCCTCTCGCTTAAGCCTCCAGAATAGCGGGGACTACAGGTGCCCACCACCATGCCCGGCTATGCTGTGTTTTCAGATCTGGGGGCTGGTTACATAGACACCTATGCCGTTTGTGAAAATTCTCCAAGCTCTATGCTTAATCTTTGTGCATTTTTCAGCATAAATGTTGTTCCTCAATTAAAAAACCAAGAGGTTGTTAGAACAGAACTGGCACTGATTGAGTCCTTCTCTGTGCAAGGCCTTTCCATCAGGTCTGTCATCTCAGCTTAAGTTCATGATGGCCTTAGGGGGTAGACGTTAGCCCCATTTCACAAAAACACAAGTCTGAGCCCAGGGAAAGATTTTCCTTGAACTATAAGTCTTCAAAACTATTTCCCTCAAAGCCCAGAATAAACTATGGGCTAGTCAGATTATACGAATGATAACAGATAACAACAGTTAAGGAACAGAAAATAGAATATTCAATTCAGGCTAATTGTTTTTCTTCGTGTTTTTGTTTTGTTTTTTGTTTGTTTGTTTTTGAGATGGAGTCTCGCTCTGTCACCCAGGTTGGAGTGCAATGGCACGGTCTCGGCTCACTGCAACCGCTGCTTTCTGGTTCAAGCGATTCTCCTGCCTCGGCCTCCTGAGTAGCTGAGGTTACAGAGGGGCACCACCACATCCAGCTAATTCTTCTTCTTTCTTTTACAACACAGAGTTTCACTCTCGTTGCCCAGGCTGGAGTGCAATGGCGCAATCTTGGCTCACTGCAACCTCCACTTCCTGGGTTCAAGTGATTTTCCTGCCTCAGCCTCCCGAGTAACTGGGATTACAAGTGCATACCACTATGCCTGGCTAATTTTTGTATTTTTAGTAGAGACAGGGTTTCACCATGTTGGCCAGGCTGATCTCGAACTCCTGACCTCAGGTGATCTCCCTGCCTCGGCCTCCCAAAGTTCTGGGATTACAGGCGTGAGCCACCAACTCTGGTCAAATTTTTGTATTATTAGTAAAGACAGGTTTTGCCATGTTGGGCCAGGGTGGTCTCGAATTCCTGACCTCAGGTGATCCACCTGCCTTGGCCTCCTGAGGTCCTGGGATTATAGGCGTGGACCATCATGCCCAGCCCAGGCTAGTTATTGATTGATTGTTTATGATTCTTTGACTCAGAATCTTGTCCAGGATCCCACATTGATAGACACAGGATTTGGTCCCAAGCCTGAACTGATTCCAAAGCCCCTGACATTCCCATGAAACTAGGGGCTTCTGATAATGACCATACATTATGTCAAGTAAGTATATATTCAGGTAGGATAATGCCATATGTCATTCTATTTCTTTTAGAATGACAGATCCAGTGCTCACAGGAATTCTCAGAGCAGCAGGCACATGGTTAAGGCAAGAACAGGCCGTTAGAAGGAAACGGTAAGGATGTTCGACATTGCTTGTCCCAAACCTGAATAACTGAAACTACACACACACATTTCTGGAAAGGCTTTGACTCAAGTCTGGGTTGAAAAAAATCAGGGTTAGAATCAGCACTGATTTGTAACTCAACTTTTTTGTTTCCTTCTTTTTTTATATTTTTTGAGACAGAGTCTGGCTCTGTTGCCCAGGCTGGAGTACAGTGGCACAATCATAGCTCACTGAAGCCACAAACTCTGGGATCAAGTGATCCTCCTGCTTCAGTCTTCTGAGTACCTGAAACTATGGGTGTGTGACACATGCCTGGCTAATTTTTTTAAAGAGCTTTTTGTAGAGATGGAGATCTTGCTGTGTTGCCCAGGAGAGTCTTGAAGTCTGGGTTTCAAGGGATCCTCCCACCTCAGCCTCCCAACGTGCTAAGATTATAGGTGTTAGTCACCTCACCTGGCACTTTTTCTACATTAAAAATCAAAATTTGCCAGGCTCAACGGCTCATGTCTATAATCCCAGCACTTGGGAGGCCAAGGTGGTTGGATCACCTGAGGTCAGGAGTTCAAGACCAGCCTGGCCAACCTGGTGAAACCCCATCTCTACTAAAAAAATTAAAAAAAAAAAAAAATTAAGCCGGGCATGGTGGCACACACCTGTAATCCCAGCTACTTGGGAGGCTGAGGCAGAATTGCCTGAACCTGGGAGCCAGAAGTTGCAGAGAGCTGAGATAGCACCACTCCACTCCAGCCTGGGTGACAGAGTGAGACTCCGTCTCAAAAAAAAAAAAAAATCAAAAATCAAAATTGACCCAAGACATGAGAAACCACAGCACAAGGATCACTTGAGTTCAGAAGTTTGAAACCAGCCTGGGCAACATAGCAAGCCCCCATCTCTAAAAAGAATTAGCCAGGTATGGTGACCTGTGCCTGTACTTCCAGCTACTTGGCGAACTTAGACAGGAGGACCACTTGAGCCAAGGAATTTGAGACTGCAGTGAGCTATGATCACACCACTGCACTGCAGCTGGGTGATAGACTGAGACCCTGACTCAAAAAAAAGTGACAGAATTGAATGAAAAGGGATCCTAATCTCTCTCACAGCCACTCAAGTGAACCTTCCAGCACCACAGTCCACCTGCAGACAGTCGGGGGAGGGGCAGAGGGCAGCCTTGCAGGTGCAACTGCAGATCTAAACCTCAGTGGATAGGGAGCATCGTGCCCAGACCTCCACTTATCCTCTCTCAGCCAATGAAGAACCCAGGCAGGGGCCCCAGGCAAGATCCCACAGAACCACCAGTCCAGAGGGGGCAGAGCCGAGTGGCACCATGCCTGCATTCAGGTCCCTATTGCAACTCTGCCTCTGCCACGCCGTGTGTCTGGGCAGGGCTCTTGATTTCTCTAACCCTCACTTTCTTCTTCTAAAATGATGATACCTCACAGGGCTGTTGGGAGGATCAGAAACGAGGTTTATAAAATGCTCTTACTGAGAAATCCAGCAGTTCCAGGGCAGAGGCTGGATTGTTCTGGATAGACTTGAGGAGACCAAAGCAGCCTTCACTTCGCATGGGATTCCTGGACACCTAAGAAACACGCACACAAAGCTGCGAGAAGCCGGGTCTGGGGAGGCCAGAGAGCAACGTGAAAGGGAAGGAGGGGCTCCTCATCTCTGAGGACACAGCTACTATGGCCACACTGTCTCAGCTCAGAAGGTGTCTCCATCAGACAGTCAGACAGAATGCTCTGGTGAGGCTGCTGGGCCAGAGAAGAGAGGAAGGGAGAGGCCTCTGACTGATACAGACACACAAGACACACTCTTGCCTTTAAGAACTTGCCTGCTGGGGAGAGGGGAGGGAAAGGAAGCATCATGAAATGTGGTGTGATCAGCGCAGAGTGTGCACCAGCTCCCCTGGGAGGGAAAGCCTGGGAGGGGAGGTGTATCTGGGTAGGGCTCAGCTGAGCTTCCCAGGTGAGGTGGCCGGAGCTGGACATTTCAGCAAGAACAGCAGAGGAACAAAGGCAGGGGTGAAAAATAGTACCGTGTGTGTGTGTGTGTGCGTGTGTGTGTGTCTGTGTGTGTGTGTGTGTACTCCGAGCTTGGGGTGAGAGCACTGAACTTGGAAGAGAGGGGCTGGCAGAGCCCAGATCCTCCATGACATGCTATGTTACTTTTTTTTTTTTTTTAGACAGAGTCATGCTCTGTCGCCCAGTCTGGAGTGCAGTGGTGAGATCTCAGCTTGCTGCAACCTCCGCCTACTGGGTTCAAAGGATCCTCCTGCCTCAGCCTCCAGAGTAGCTGGGATTATAGGTGTGCGCCACCACTTCTGGCTAATTTTTTTGCGTTTTCAGTAGACAGGGTTTCACCATGTAGGTCAGTCTGGGCTCAAACTCCTGACCTCAGGCGCCTGCTTCAGCCTCCGGAAGTTCTGGGACTACTGGCGTGAGCCACCACACCCAGTTCCCCGTGACAAAATGCACTGGAAGCTTGGGTTTCTCCAGAGGGGATAAAACTCCAACAGTTTTCAGGCAGGGCATGTTTCTGGTTTAGAAAGGTCACTGGGTAGCAGGTGGGAAGGAAGGACTGTAGCCAGGAACCCCGCAAGTTCACAGAAGCTGAGAAGGGAAGTCAGAAGAGGGAGGAGTCAGCAGGGTGAGCCCCTGCAGAGGGTGGGCAGGACGGTGTGGAAAAGGGAGGGGCAAGCAGGCTCTGGGCCCCAGCTGGTGACTTGGGAAGGAGCCCCCCACCAGGAGGCGGCCCTTAGAGGGGGGTGATGCATTCAGGTTGGACTCTCACATTCCCACGTGACTTTGGGACATTTAGAGGACTGTCTAGGAGGTGACTGGAAACGCAGGTCTACGGTTCAGAGAGGTCCGGGTTCCTGTGGGGGCAGGGAGCAGGGGAGGAGAGCTATGGGAGAAGCCCAGGGAAGGATGGGGTGGGGAGCTGAGGGCCAACAGAGCTGGGTGTCCATACCCAGCTAGCAATACTGTCCCCCAGCATGTACCTGCTGTGGGCACAGTGGTCCCCTGGGGACCTGCTCCCCACTCGCCTCCCTCCTGTGTCTGTCTTCTGCTCTCTGTCCTGCTCAGCACTCCCTCCCCACCTGCAAACCCAGGGGAAGGACTCCAGCTGGAAACACCAGGCCTCAGGTCGGCCTGAACAGTAGCCAACGCAACACCTGGGTGGGGCCTGGGTCCCAGCAAGACCAGAGGAAAGGCAGGGGAGAAGATGAGGGAGACACAAGGGGTGCCCAGCCACCTTCATCAGAGCAGCACCCCAGCCCACAGAGGAGGAAGGGCAGCAAGAAGATGTGGGAGAG